ACTTGAGCTACAGCGCCACTTCCTGTTTTCTGGTGGTTTATTGGAGATAAGAGTCTCACGGTCTCTCCTGCCCAGGCTGGCTTTGAACCGCGATCCTCAGATCTCAGCCTCCTGAGTAGCTAGGATTACAGGCGTGAGCCACCAGCGCCCGGCCCTATATACACTCTTTATGGGACTAGACTTTGACTACCTGCAGGCCCCTTCTCTAGAACACCCACCCTACTGTTTTCCCCTGCATTCAGCCAAAGATATTCCATGCTAGTGGTCCCTAAATGTGTTGGCAGAGCTCCTTCACACACTTAAAAAACTAAGGGCCCCTAAGATTTTTATATATGTGAATTTTATCTATGAATGATATTTCCCAATTAAAGTGACAAAAATCTAAGCATGCTTGTTCATTCACTTAAGAATAAAAACAGCTAAGTGCAGCAAGGTGCCAGTGGTTCACACCTGTAATCCTAGCTACTCAGGATGCTGAGGATCACAGTTCAAAGCCAATCTGGGCAAGAAAGTCTATGATTATCTCCAACAAACTACTCAGAAAAAGTTGGAAGTAGCACTTTGACTCAAGTGGTAAGAGAGCTAGCTTTGGGCAAAATGAATATCAGGGACAGTGCCCAGGCTCTGAGTTCAAGTCCCAGGACTGACAAAAAACAACAACAAAAAGAAGAAGAAAAAAAACCCCCAACAGCCTAGCGTTAGTGGGCTCACACGTTATATATGATACCTACTCAGAAGCTAAGACCTGGAGGGCTGAGATATGAAGCCAGCCAAACAAAAGTCTGAGTTTACATCTCTTATTAACCAGCAGAATATCAGACTGGAGATGTGGCTCAATTGACAGAGTGCTAGCTGTGAGCAAAAAAGCCAGGTGAGGGTTGTGAGAGCCCAGTTCCAGTACTTGGTATATGCATGCATATGTATGCACAAACAAAGAATAAAAATAAACCCACTTAGATTTTTTTTTTTTTGGTCCGGTTGTGGGGTTTGAACTCTGGGCCTGGGCACTATCCCTCAGCTCTTCAGCTCAAGGCTAGCGCTCTACCACCTGAGCCACAGTGCCACTTCCAGCTTTTTTTCTTTTTGCTTATGTGGTGCTGAGGAATCGAACCCAGGGCCTCAGGCATGCAAGGCAAGCGCTCTACCACTGAGCCACCTTCCCAGCCCAACCCACTTAATTTTTAAAGTAAAAATAATTATCTCTCTCTGCAGTTTGTTCCATGAACTATAAGTAAACAAAGTGGTCTCAAATAGACACAGAGTTGGAAATGAAAGAATTTCAATGGCCTTTTCAGGTAACTGTGGCTGGTCTTCTTTGATAAGTGTTCATGTCTCTAGGTTAACTGAAATGAAGGAATTCTCTGTGCTGTTATAATTGAAATTCATGGCTTATTCTCCCCCCCCCCCAGTCATTTGTGGGGCTTGAACTCTGGGCCTGGGTGCTGTCCCTCAGATCTTCAGCTCAAGGCTAGTGCTCTATCATGTGAGCCACAGTGCTACTTCCAGTTTTCTAATAGTTAGAGATCAGAGTCTCATGGACTTTCCTGCCTGGGCTGGCTTTGAACTGCAATCCTCAGATTTCAGTCTTCTGAGTAGCTAGATTACAAGCATAAGCCACCAGCACCCAGCTATTCTGTTTTTTGAATGCCTCCTTTCACAGACATGGTTTTGTAACATTATATATTGGTCACTTAGAAAATACTAGATTATGGACTGGGAAGGTGGCTCAGTGGTAGAGCGCTTGCCTTGCATGCCTGAGGCCCTGGGTTCGATTCCTCAGCACCACATAAGCAAAAAGAAAAAAAGCTGGAAGTGGCACTGTGGCTCAGGTGGTAGAGCGCTAGCCTTGAGCTGAAGAGTTGAGGGACAGCGCCCAGGCCCAGAGTTCAGGCCCCACGACCGGACCAAAAAAAAAAAAAAAAGAATGGGAGCTCTGTCCCTGGTTCTGGGTCATTTATGAGAATAGGGCCTTGGAACTAAAGTTTCATTAGATATTACCACAAGGTTACCTTTCAGAGTGTGAGTCACCTTTTCCTCTGGATCCCTGGACTGTAGCCTCGGAGGATGATTGCAGATGGTGAAGAGTCAGCTTTACCATCCACAAACTGGAGGTGGCAACAACAGGTACCTTGCTGAGCCACTAGTAAGTAGCCCTACCTCTCTCTAGGAAGAGTGGGGCACCTTACTGAGTAGCATTCATGGAAAGTAAACTTTGGAAATCTAGTAAAAACTATGAGTTTTAGGCTGGGTGCCAGTGGCTCAAGCCTATAATCCTAGCTACTCAGTAGGCTGAGATCTGAGGATCATGGTTCAAAGTCAGCCTGGGCAGGAAAGTCCATGAGACTCTTATCTCCAATTAACCGCCAGAAAACCAGAAGTAGTGCTGTGGCTCAAGTGGTAGAGCGCTCACCTTGAGCTGAAGAGCTCAGAGACAGCACTCAGACCCAGAGTTCAAGCCCCACAATCGACAAAAAACAAAATAAAAAACATCTATGAGTTTTCTCACAGGAAAAAATATAAATAAATAAATGAATCCTAAATAAATGAATTTGTCCTGCAACATTGCTGGGCCTGCACATTGTTTTGTGGTCTCAGGCAGAATCCTTCCCCAGTTCTTAAGAAGGCTGGGTCAGGAAAGCAAGGAAGGCAGGCAGAAGCCTCCTCTTCTCAGGGAGTTTTGCATCTTAACCCTTTATTTGGCTGTCCAGATCCTGTCTCTCCCCAGGAAGCTACAACTCTGCTCTGCCTCCTCATTTCAACCAAGCCTAGAGGGCAAAAATGATGCCATGAGGTACTTGGGAACTTCACAGGCTGCCTCTTATATATTCAAGAGAGGAACTTGTGCTGGCCTATCTTCCTGTGCATTGGGTCACCTTAGACAACAGAAGTGGACCAGGAAGAACAAGGCCAGCCTTCTAGAGTCCAGGTAGATGGAACACTCTTCTCTCTTGGGTACTTGAGGTTCTAAGAGGAACTAAGTACAGCAAATATCCTATGAGGCTATAGTCCAGAACGCAGAGAAAAAGGTACCCCACATCTGAACAGGAAGACTGCTCCCTAGGGGAGGTGAGGGAGCATGTGTATGAATGTGTACACATGAATGTGTGTGTGCATGCCCATGTGCATGTAGTGTTGCACGTGAATTCCATCCTTTAGTCTCCTTCTTACCTCCGTTCGTTGCCAAACAGACGGGCCACCTCTTCCCTGCCAGGGCTCCGGGCCCGAGTCCTACGCTCCAGCCGCCTTCTCTCCACCTGGAAGGCTTCTCGGTGGCTGATCCTGATGGCCTTAGGGACGTCGGCCAGGGCGGCATACTGCCTGCTGGCTTTAAAGGCAAAGGTGCTCCCCAGTCTTTCTGTTTCCCGCCCCCTAGCGCTGCTGGAGTCCTCATGGATAGGGGGCCGGCTGGCCTCACCCAGGCTGCTGAGGGAGATGCTGTAGACCATTCGGCTGGGGGCTTGAGGACCTGGGGAGTGAAGGGAACGGCCGAGCTCCTGGAAGGGCGACTCAGGGCAACCATACCTGCTGTTGGGGGTGCTGGGGCTGGGCGGGGAGAGCGGCAAGGGCAGCTGCTCCTCTGCCTTCAGGTCCTGCTTGGCCTTCTCCAGGGAGAAGTAGCCGCTCTCCACCCGCACCTTGCGGCCACAGTCCACACGGTCACCATTCATGGCACTGTCCTCTAGAAAAGAAGGTGGAGAGGAGGCTCGCTTAGACAGCAGACAACTCTGCTCTATCGACTTTCCAAAAACCCATATAAGATCAAACAGGATCACTCGGCACAGTTGTCAGGAAAGAACTGTGGGGTGGAATAAACATTCTACCCATACTTTTCCCCCTCCTCCTCCTTCTCTCCTAGACAGATGGGGAGGCCTATCTTGTCTTGTGTGGGGCTCAGTTGGGAGAGCAGGACTCCACACCAAGTCCAGAAGGGAAGACATCTACCAGTTGCTTCTTACCAAAACCCAAGGAGAAAACCAACAGCTAAGCAGCCTTTCCAACTCTTGTAGGTTGGGGGGGGGGAGGGGAGTAAGCAGGAGCTGGGGGTGGAGAGTGGAGAGAGGCAAAGGTCTTGATACACTTGAGAGAAAGGGATGGTAGATGAGGGCAGGTATGTACACTGAAGAAAAGGCAGCAGAGGAAACCTGCTCTGCTCAAGTAGTTCCAGCATGCCAAGTGGAGAGGTGCTTCCTCCTCAGCACTCATGTTAGTCAGGTGCTGGGCAGGATGGACAGTGAAAAGAGGCAAGACCCGAGGTAATACACACAGTGTACACCCAGGGCTAACACCATTAACAACATGAATACATGGTGCATGAGTAGGGCCTCCTCATGCATGGTTCTTGAAGCACAGTGGTTTTGATTCTCCTGATACTTCCTGGGGCTGACAGAACAGCCTTCAGGTGCTATCTTCCTCCTTTACAGATGGGGTTTAAGAGCTAGAAGGGCCAAGGCTAAGCCAGTCTAAGAACCCCAGTCCATGCCAAACCAGGTGCTGTCCACAGCTAATGCACAAAAAAGTCCAGGATTTTTGTGGGCTAGAATGGAGGCCCACTTCAGCACTGCAAGACAAGCCATCAGGACAGGTGCACACACAGACCAGCCAGCTGTAGCTTACCTTCTTTGTTGTCTAGCCCTGATTCCCGCAGGGAGCTAGCAGTAGGAGACTGGCTCTGGCTAGGACTTTGAGTTGGGCTCAGGCTGCTTCCTTCGGGCTGGTCCTTAGCCCTCATTTCTTCCTGCCACAGGGTGGATTTGGTGGTGGGGACTTTCTCAGCACTTGGGATACTGCTACTGCTGCTGCTTGTGACAGCTACCTTGGCAGGCCCTGGCTCCTGTGGAGACAGTGGTGTCAAGGGTACCCAGTCTGAGCTGGCTCATAAGTCCTGGCTATCCAGCTTCAGGAGCCTGGGAAGCCCCACACAGAGGAGAAACTCTTGTCTGTTACCACAGTAACCTCTGTTCTCTGAAATAGCTAGTCCAGGAGACCCCAAGCTATCCTGACAAATACATGGAGAAAAAGGTTCCAAGTTTCTGCCAGAAGTCTGTCACCAAACAACATGCAAGCTCTCCCATCATATAGCCAGATAGCACCTACAACAGCAGCCTAGTAGTCAATGGCAAGCCCACAGGAATTGGCTCAGAATCCATCACTGCCCAACTTCCAAGCACTTTAGATACAAATCAGGGAGACATGACAAGGTGAAGAGAACACACTTCTGAGTAGGACACATTGCCATCTGAAATCCTTATTATCAACGTAGAAAATGAGTTTCCATAGCATTCATACCTAGCCAGTCCTTGTGGCTTCATTAATTCTGCTTTTGGACCTAAGAATTAGGTTAAATGGGTACCGTTGGCTTATGCCTGTAATCCTAGCTACTCAGGAGGCTAAGATCTAAGGAATACGGTTCAAAGCCAGTCTGGGCAGGAAAGGCCACAAGACTTTTATCTCCAATAAACTACTCAGAAAATGCTAGAAGTGGTGGTGTTGCTCAAGTAGAGTACTAGCCTTAAGCAAAAGAAGTTCAGTGACAGTGCCTAGGCCCAGCAAAAAAAAAGAAGAAAGAAAAGAAAGAAGGAAGAATAAATAGTAGTAGTAGTTGTTGTTGTTGGAGGAGGAGAAGGATCAGCCGTTGCCGCTGCAGCTTAAATAGGACACTTGGATACTATGCAAACTGAAACCAGATAGACACTGTGGCCTGAATCCATACTGCAAATACTAAAAACGTAATGATGGCATTTGCAGATAGGGTCTCTGGGATGTGGTTGAGAGTAAAATCCTCATCAACAAGATCAGTGTCCTCATCAATAAGAAGCCTCAGAGAGTTGCTCATCCCTTCCAGCATGGGAGGATCAAGAAGTGGGCCTTCACCAGACACCAAATTTGTTGGTGCCTTGACCTTGGAGTTCCCAATCTCTACAATCACAAGGAATAAATACCTGTGTTTGTTTAGCACCTCAATCTATGACACTTTGTCATAGCAGCAATGAACTGAGACATTCAATGTCCTGCTCAAATCTGTGTGTGTGTGGTGTGTGTGTGTGTGTGTGTGTATGCGCGCAAACACATGCATGGGTGCTGATCAATACTGGTAGCAAAGATGGGAATTGGACCAATTCCTATTTTTCCCAAAGCACAGAAGTGGTGTGTACTGGGGAGAAGTATTTGTGGGGCAGACACAGGGGTGAAGACATAGGATGTAGAGTAACCAACTTCTAGGATTCTTCTCAGAAGATGGTTAACAGTTTTCTTTTTTTGGGGGGGGGGTCCGGTCATGGGGCTTGAACTCTGGGCCTGGGCACTGTCCCTCAGCTCTTCAGCTCAAGGCTAGCGCTCTACCACTTGAGCCACAGCACCACTTCCGGCTTTTTTCTTTGTGCTTATGTGGTGCTGGGGAATCGAACCCAGGGCCTCATGCATGCAAGGCAAGTGCTCTACCACTGAGCCACCTTCCCAGCCCCTAACAGTTTTCTTATACCTTCAAAGACTTATGGAAGGTGGGTGCCAGTGCTTATGCCTGTAATCCTAGCTACTCAGGAGGCTGAGATCTGAGGATCATGGTTCAAAGCCAGCCCAGCAGAAAAGTTCCTGTGAGACTCTTTATTTTGGTCAGTCATGGGGCTTGAACTCTAGGCGTTAGCATTGTCCCTGAATTCTTCAGCTCTAGGCTAGCACTGTACCACTTGAGCCACAGTGCCTTCCAGCCTTTTCTGTTTATGTGGTGCTGAGGAATTGAACCCAGAGCCTCATGCATGCAAGGCTAGCATTCTACCGCTGAGCCACCTTCCCAGCCTCCCAGCCTCCCCCCCGCCCCCATGAGACTCTTATCTCCAATTTACCACTCAAAAACTAGAAGTGGCACTGTAGCTCAAGTGGTAGAGTACTAGTCCCTGAGAGGCTCAGGGACAGCACCCAGACCCTGAGTTCAAGCACCACAACCAATGACAACAACAACAACAAAAGGCCTATGGATATTTAGCCCCAAGGTTGAGTCCTGGCCCTCCAGTCAATTTCCTCAGCTACCCCACCAGTGACCCTTCCTCTCAGTGGAAGTCATTCCAGAGGCCCCTCTGCTATGCCTCTTTTCCCTCCCCACACCCTAGGTCCTGCTGTTCTAAGTCCAAGTGGCAAGAAGCCGGGCACAGCTATGTTGGGCTTGGTGCAGGGCTGGAATCTTCCTGCAAGGGAGGGAGCAACCATAAAATAGTCATTGATAACTGGGCACCAGTGGTTCATGCCTATAATCACCTGTAATCCTAACTACTCAGGAGACTGAGATCTGAGGATCACAGGTCAAAGCTAGCCTGGGCAGGAAAGTCCATGTGACTCTTACCTCCAATTAACCACCATAAAGCCAGAAGAGGTGCTGTGGCTCAAGTGGTAGAGTGCTAGCCTTGAACAAAAAGCTCAAGGACAGCACTTAGGCCCTGAATTCGATGCCCTAGGACTGGGGCTGTGCATAGACACACATGTGCACATACACAAATCCAGTCCTTGATAAATTAGTTCCCACCCACCCCCACTCCACACCAAAAAAAAAAAATTAAAAATCCAGTCCTTGATAAATCAGTTCCCTCAGCTCTCCAAATACAAATATAAACACATACACACACACAAACACACACACACACACACACACTCCAGCCCTTGATATATCAATTCCCTTAGAAGAGGGAAGAAGTTAAGTTAAACTGAAGGTTGGCTGAAGTTCCCAGAGAAGATAACCCAGAGGAGGGTTAAGGGCTCCTGCAGTCTAGCCTCATCCCCCACAGGGTGAGTGCACCTGTGGCACAGGAATGCCTTCTTCTCTTGGCATGAGATGTAGTATGACACCTGGAGCTTTGGAATCACATTTCCCAACATTAAGTCTCTACTGACTCTTACCTCCTCCCAGGTAAGGTGTATAACCTGGGAAGAGCTGGCTTAATTCAGATCTCTCCCCATCCTCATCCCAGAAAACCAGGGTCTGATAAATACCTAAGACTGTAGGGAACTTTTTCTCTCCTTTGGGTACCTGCTTAATCTTGCTTTTACACATTAAGGCACCCACTGTCTTCCAGGGAATGACTAGGGGTCCCTGTCCTTGAGCAAAGATGCTATTCTTTTCAACAGATGGGTGAGACACCTGACTGGGTGGATATGGTCACAGAACCAGGTCTAAGCCTTTATAGAGGTGCTTCCATTCCTCAGCATGTAAGGGCTGTCAGGGCATATAAACCAAACAAAGGTACTTGGGTTTTCTGTGCTCAGTCCAAAGTGGCTGGACAGATGTGCTGCTTCATTAGGGTGCCATAATGAAGCCTGCACTGCTCATCAGAGCTGTTCACAAAGGGTTTTCAAATCCCTCTCTGAAGGGGTGTCAGAGAAGACTTCTTTATTTCAATGCCATGAAAATGCAACAGGCATCCAATGGAAAGGGAGAGTCTACTTTGAAGTGTGGGATAGTAGACACCACAACAGAAGGTAAGACCCCCAGGAGAAGAGCTGTGCCACATGTACAAGACAAGACAGAGCCTCAAAAAAAATCAGCTGTTGTATAGTCTCTGCAAAAGACAGGGCCTGACAAAGGCAGGGATGCACTTGGCCAATAGACCTGTGTATACCACCTGTGCAGCTGCACAGTGGGTGGGAACTCCTGCCCTGGCAGCACCTCAATGGAACAGCATTTTCCTCTACTTCAATGGCATTAGGGCTAAGTAAACAGCAGGGTTAAACCTGCCTCTCCAACTGCCTTGGGCCCTGTGAGAGTCCTTCTCCCTGTTGAATGGCTGATGTTGGCTCTATGGCCAAATCCATGGTCCTATTCTAAAAGTGGGCCATCAGCTCCATCATTTGAGTTGGGGCCAAGTTGAGTTTAAGTGGACCAACTAGAGGAGTTATGACAATGATGGAAAGGAAAAGCCCTTCCTACCCTGAACCCCTGCCCTTCCCTGCATGTTCCCCAGAAGCCAAGGGAGAGGATACATGCTCTGCTGTCTGCTGCCTGCCCCCCAACCCTAAAAGCTCCAGGGCACATCAATGGCTACCATGCACAGTAGTACTCAGAGAGGATGATGTGGACTGTGGTCTTCAAGAGTATGGGCAGGAGGAAGGGAGTATGCAGGTATGACCACCTCAATGCTAGCCAGACCCCTTCCTCACTCTTTAACCTAAAGGTTCACTACCCCCCCAGTTTTCAGCCCCATTGGAGAAAAATGACACCTGGCCTACCTGCGGGGTGGGTGGCTCCACTTTCCGTTTCTTCTTCTGGTTCTGTTTGTTGGTCCTGGGATAGACCATAAGCATCTCTAACCACCTGGGAAAAAGGGAGGAGACATTATCAGGTAACCCTCTAGCTCTCAGGAACATGATCCTGCCCTTGGCTGGGGTAGTCCAGACCCTAGGCCCTATGCTTCCTGACTGGAGATACCCATCCAACAGCTAATCCTGTAGGCACTGAGCAGTACAGGACATAACCCCAGATGAGAGGTGCCACAGTTGGGCCAAGCAGTGCCACAGCGTAGGACAGGAGAGGCATAGTATATGCCAAAGCCAGGCCAGACAGTGATATTGCTACTGCCACTGCCAGCAGGGCCTTAGGACACAATATAGGCTCCATGCTTGCAAAGAGGCATGTTTGACTACAAGTTTTGGGGGAATGAGTACATATCTCTTTCCCATAGCTACTCTTATTCCCAGGGCTTAGACTTGATTCTAAAACTGACTGCCCAGAGTGGATTCAGGGAGCACACAAATAGGTAGCAACTGGAAGCCAGTTAGGGATACCAAAGCAGATAGATCCTGGCCATGAGAAGAAAACCAGGAATCATGCTAGCAAAGTTCTTCATGGTCACCTCAGAAGTGAGCAGTTGACCTCCTAGACCTTCTCTTACAAAGGAAAAAGCGAGAAACATGTCTCCCATTCAATCTCCATACACATTAGGGCCTACATGCTGGAAGGGTTACTCTGGACCAGCAATTCCTCTTGGGAATGGAGGAATTGAGGAATTGCAGGTCCAACAGGCCAGCACTTTAGATCTGGCTCTACCACAGTCTAACTATAGCTTCAGGTACTTTCAGCTCCTTAAGAATGCTGTCCCCTCATTTCTGAAACTAGGAGCTAGATCAAGCCATGACATAAACACTATTTCTCCTAGTCAGATTTTCACAAGGACAAAGGGACTGAACTGTTGAAGAGTAGGGGATATAAAGGGTCTGCCTCTGAGGCCCACCTCCAGCCTTGGCTGAGTGGCCAGGGCAGCCAGCATTCCCTCCAGTGAGGAAAGAACCACAGGAGACACAGGTCTAGTAGACCATCCTGGAGCATCCGACTATGTTGGACTCAGGCCTGGGATTATAGCAGTAGCTGTGCCAACACAATCCAGCAGCACCCCTGGGGTAAGAAAAGGCCTCTTACAGTTTCTTTAATTTGAGGGTGCTGTGGAAAGGTGAGATGGTAGGACAGTAGGTGGCTTTCTGGACTGCCTTAGGAAGTGTTGACAAGCCGGTAGCTGGGGAACCAGTCTCAGTGCAGGGAATCCCAGTGACTAAGCAGAGAGCTACCCTCAGCCCAGTTCAGCCCATGACCAGTAATGCTCAACTTTCTGAGTATAGGCAAAGGCTTGCATTATCAGAGCTACACGTCTTTCAGTCCTTTTTCTGTGTGTCCCAAAGCAAGAAAGGAGGGTACAAGTGAATCTGCAAAGCCAGCAGACAACTGTGCTTCCCAGGATGTTGAAACCTTCCCCTGGCTCATTCCTCTGTCCCAGGCTGGTTGGGACAGAGGTCAATGGGAGAGGGCCTGGGCTCCTGGAGCTGTTCCTATGGAGCTCACAATGCTGGTGGGCTGCCCTTCTAGTTGTAGTGGCTGACATTTCCACTAGGCACTCAGAGGACCTAGGTCTCTAGGGGGCTGTCCCTACAATTTTCCCAGACTTTCTACATCAAGATCACCTTTCTCCCTGAGGACCCCAGGTGTGTGGAAGAGTATGGTAGGGATTATACACCTTAGGGCACCCAGGACCCCTAAGTCTTGCAGGTGCCAGCCACTGGCAATGCCAGCGAACCATACAGGACAAAGTTTTGTTTTGTTTTTTTTTTTT